TTTCCAATATTGTGCATAGGTCATTCTGGCCGTTGTACTTTGCAAGTCTTTTGACTACATTCCAGTCTCTTTTGCTTGGTGATTCCATCTTTCTGCATAACACGCCCACGGCTCCTGTAATATCAGGACACATCAATGTGCCTGTGTACAGCAGTCTTCCAATTGCTTCTCTGTATTGCTTGTTGTTAGGCAGAAATCTACTACTTCCTTGATGGTTCAGATAGTTTGTTTCCGTAGGAGTGCTTGCTGGCTTAGCTGCTTTCATATTCATGTAGTCCAGAAATTCTAGGATTTTCTGTTTCTGATTGAGAAGATAGTTTCCATCTTCCTCTCATTCTACTTGTATTCCAAGATAGTAGTTGATATTTCCTAATTCTTTCACTTCTGCTTCTTGATTCTGATGTAGAACTATTTCATCACAATCATCCTTGTCTTCACAGCATAAAATCAAGTCATCCACTGTCAGAATGTAAGTCCAATAGTTGTCGCTATATCTTGCATATAGGCATCGTTTTGCCTTGCCTTGCTTAAATCCTTTCTTGGTTAGCATTTGATAAAGTTTCTCATTCCAACATTTCACAGCCTCTTTTAGTCCATATATGCTCTTTTGCAGTTTACACACGAGTTGCTTGTCTTTTGAGTGTTCAAATCCTGGTGGCTGTTCCATGTAAACATCTTCCTTTATTTCTCCATGTAGAAAGGCAGTCTTTATGTCCAGATGCTCCACATGCATCTTCCTTGCTGCTGTTATGCTCAGGTAGCTTTTCTCCATGTTTCTGCTTCTTCTGCAGGCATTCTTGCTGTGTCTTCCCATGTGGAAGACTCAGGTGTAGCTTCTGTCTTTGCTAGATAAGAAAGTCTTCTTGGTGGTACTCCTTTGGTCTGGTTGATCATCTGACACTTGGCTCTGCAGCCACTTCCGGTTCTTTAGGTTCTGCAGGTGTGTCATGTGTGTTGTCCATAGTGCTAAGATGCACTGCTTCTCTTTAATGTGCCTCATTTTTCTCTATTGGTGTGGATTCACTGATGTCTACTTTCTCCATATTTCTTGATTTCTCCCTTTCATCAATGTAGATCACATTGCAGATCTTTCTGTTTCTGGGTTGAGGATTCTGTATCCTTTGCATCCCAGTACAAAGCCTACAAAAATGCCTTCTTCTGCTCTAAGGTCCACTTTTCTTTATGAATGTAAGTGTAAGCCTTTACTCCAAACACCTTTAGATTATTCAGGCTGGTTTTGTGCCTGTACCGCAGTCCAAATGGTGTACTGCTGGCACCTTTAGTAGGTAATCTGTTTTGCAGGTAGGTAGCAGTGTTGATTGCTTCTCCCCAGAACTTGTCAAGGAGCATACATCTGCATATTTCAGTGAGAGAGCAATTTTTCTACTCCGCTACACCATTCTGCTCTGGAGTATATGGAGCAGTAAGCTGATGCTCTGTTTCTTGTTCAACCAAATAATTCTTTATTTCATGTCTCACATTGTCCTCCATTATAAGTGCAAATTGCTAGTGGATTTCTTTGAAATCTGTTACTGACCATTGCCATATATGCTTTAAATTTTTCTGGCACTTGACTTCTCTTTAATTAGGCAGGTCACCATATATCTTGAAAAGTCATCAATAAAAGTCAGTATGTATTTATTCCCCTAGGGGGTTGAGTTTCCATTGGTCCACAAACATCACTGTGTATCAGCTCTAGGGGTTGCTTCGTCTGGCTTGTCTGGCCTTTGTTAAAGAGAGGTCTCACTCCATTTTCTTGAATGCAATGCATATGTTTTCCTTCAACAGTACATTTGCTCATCTGCATGCGTATAGTTAAATTTTGGCTTTCAGGTTGGCTAATTGCATAATTGTCTCTGTGTCCCAACTATCTGTGCCATAGCCAAGAGCAATTCTTATGATCACAATTTTTGGTAGTTTGCTTTTCGGTATGCAAGTCTCAAGAGCACATAAATCATGATGCACTTTGCCAATTGTAGTTAACTGTCCCCTCTGTCTGATATAGCATTTTTCTTCAAAAGATGTAATCATGCCTTTCTTCATGAGTACTCTCACAGAAATAAGATTATTTGCCAGTTCTGGGACATAAAGGCAGTCTTTAACAAGAATGTCTTGGCTCTCTCCACTATGGAGTTTGCATTTTATGATTCCTGAGCCAATACCTTCTGCCATTCTAAACAGTCCACCTGCAACACTTACTGTCTCTTTTCTTCATCTAAAATTTCAAAGAATTATTTATGAGCACACATGTGGGTTGTGCAGGCACTGTCCAGATACCAAATATGACCTTTTGTGGCTCCTTGTGTTAATATAAAACATTTATTTAATGGTGGCTGTTTGGAGTTCCCCCTTTTCTTACTCTGGGAAAGGCATCTCTTTGTTTAAAGGCAGTGGAATTCCTCTTAATATGACCTGGCTTCCCACAGAGGTGACAAACGAATCCTGCCTTTGTTATTTACATTCAAAGCCATCTGATCAGCATTCGGTTTAAATTCTTTGACTTCTCAAATTGTCTGTGTTCCTATGTTTCCTCAAGCTGATTACTCTTCGATTCAATCTGAGACACTATATTTTCATATGACTCTGGCAAACTTATTAACAGTAACACAGTCAGATGTTGATCAACAGTTTCCTTTCCTGAACTCCTCAGTCGCTCAGCCAATCCAAGCACCTTGTCCAGATGATGACATAAATTATCACCCTCTTTCATCTTAATACTCAAAAATTCCTTATGTAGATAAAACTGGCTCTTTAACAAGGAATTTACATGCAGCCTTTCCAGCTCACACCACACAGCTTTGTCTGTTGGCATCTGAATTACTCTTAACACATTTCTATCAGTTAAACCCTTGATTATGTTCCCTCTTGCCTTTTTATTGTTGGAGTCCTAGGTTCTCTGCTCTGTCAACATCTCCTGGTTGGGCATCCTGGATTAAAGTTTAAAAAATTATAAATTATTATACAGCATTGTCTGTGGAATAGCCAGGAAATATCCTGAAGGTTTGTTTGGCTGCCTGAACTGTAGCTCTTTTGGTACCCTAGGTGGCAAGCTATGCTTATTTTTAGGCCGAGAGTGCTGTGACTTGCCCAAGTTCACCCAGCTGGCTTCAAGTGGGGAAGTGGGGAACCACTCTTAACCACTGCACCAAGATGGCTTGGGATCCTGCATAATGTCCCATAATCCTGTTTCAAGAAGGTGACTCTTTGGCCGAGGACAGACTGGCAGTTTGAAGCGCGAGGGAGTAGTGGCAAAAAGATCCGGCACAAACTGTTTTGGGTTTTCCTGGTCACACTGCACCGACTGATGCAGGAGCGTACCGGGGAGGAAGCGCAAGGGAGCGTTCGAACTGTTGGCCCGCCCCTGGCAGAGATGCGGCTTTCTTTTTGTAATGCAGAGATATGCGCATAAACGCACAAGCAAATTGCAGCTTTCGGCATTCACACTGTGTTGGTGCGGGATGACCGCGCTCTTCAGGGTTTGCTACCACTTTCACCAGGTATTTTTTAAACTCGGGAGGCAAGCGCTACAAGACAGGCTGACAGATGTGCCTGTGTGAACGGCCCCTTTAATCCGTTTGTGAAATGTTTCTGGCACGTGCCTCTATCTTGGGACAAACTGCCAGTCTGAAATCAGCCTTCATTCTCTTCATTCATTCTTTCCAAATTAGACAATTGTTTTCTGTGAGCCTATCTATCAAGTTACCATGATGTTCACCACAGGAGGTCACCATCTTTGTTCCTTTGTTTTTGCTTGCTTGAGGTGTGCTCTGGCGATCTTTCTACATTTAATCAGAGAGGCACTTAATCTGGGCCACCATAACCCCTATTGGTAGAGTAATTAACACAGCAACAATTTGAAATAAATTAAATTGTCTGTTACTGAGTTGTAAATTGTTGCATGAAAACTAGTGGTCACATCACAGGTACATCTGTTTAAGGTTTTGGGGAGCCAGTTTGGTATAGTGGTTAAGTGTGCGGACTCTAATCTGGGAGAACCGGGTTTGATTCCCCACTCCTCCACTTGCACCTGGCTGGATGAACTTGGGCAAGCCGTAGCTCTGATAAGAGCTGTTCTTGAAAAAGAGCAGTTTCTGTCAAGAGCTCTCTTAGCCCCACCTACCTCACAGGGTGTCTGTTGTGGGGAGGGGGAGGGAAGGGAAAGGAGTTTGTAAGCCGATCTGAAACACCTTTGGGTAGTGAAGGGCGGGGGTATAAATCCAATCTCTTCTTCTTCTACTACTAAGTGTTGGCAGAGTAATTAATACAGCAACAGTGCACAGCCTGATTAAAGAGCAGATAAAGGCTTATTTAGGAATTAACATACTTGATAGGAAAGAGGAGAGACAGAGATAGGTTCCTAACTACATCTCTAGCTGAGAGAGATGGGAAGACTGAATTTGGCACTTCCGAGAAGAAGGGGGAAATTGCCCTAGGAGTAGCCATCTGAAGACAGACAAGGAATGACACTTAACAGGAGAGAAGGTGCTGACCTCACTATCCTATCTAATTGTCTTCATGCTGCGTCCTGCAGGGTCTTTTCCTCTTCTTTGTATACCAGACATTGCCTTTTCTAGCACTAAGAAGGTGTAACATGATAAAGAGTATCAGTGTCTACTCACTGGATTTTCTTCTGAGAATAATAGTATGGAAGCTTCCCCAGTTGTATGTGCTACTGCTTTGGAGATGAGCTGTAGCTCATTGGTCGAGCACTTGTTCTGCATGTAGAAGGTCACAAGTTTGTTTGATCCCTACTCCTTTATTTAAGTTCATACTGTGCCTGGTCAATTTCTAGAAGATAATTAGTGGCAAAAATATCTTAACTGAGCATGGATTCTCAACACTAAGCTTGGTGGGAGGGGGTTGCAAAGCCTACATTGCTGACAGACACATGGGCACACCTTAATGGCATTACTTAAAAAGAATTCTGTGGCCCTGTGCTTGTGGATAAGGTATTTGTGCATCTTTTTAAAGCGTTTCCCCCTTCTCTTTATTGTTCTTAGGATTGTTTACGAGCGTGCCAGGAACAGATTGAATCCCTCCTTGAATCTAGTCTACGCCAGGCGCAGCAGCACAATGTATCTTCAGAAACAAAGACTGTTGAAGATGAAGCAGACCTTTCCTGCACACCCACTGATGTTAGAGATGTGAATATTTAAGAGGACTTCAGCAATTCGGGTTTGCTTTGCAGCATCAGCAAACAAAGAAAGGGCATCTGAGAAGGAGTTGGAATCAGGATCTTGTCCCCCAGAAACCTGTTTCTCCAGGACTTTTTGTACCAGAAGGGAAAATGTCATTCGTTATTTTCTTCATTATTCCTTCCTTCTTTTGTGACTTTTAACAGACAACCCCAGTTCCCCGCCCCCCCAACTGTCTTAAAAAGAAAACCATAGTATTTGCATGATCTCCAGGGGTTTGCGCTACAAAAATAGAGGATTTTATACAATAATAATCAACTAGTTTTTTATATTAAAGTGTTTTTGTCTGTATGTTGTAAAAATAGGCATTAACACATGGCGCGCGCACACACAAACACACACACAATGTCTCCAGGGGAGGTATTAGATTTGATTGTTGCATATTAAAAAAGCCAACCATTTTTAAAGTAGAAGAGGGTGTTTTTTTTTTTAGATAGATTACGTATGTTTTGGGGTTTTTTTCCTTTAAAAAGCATAGCTTTAATGCAGTTCTAGGCTTTTCTGTATCTTGCTTGCTTATGCATTTAGTCACTTTATAATTCATCTGTAAATGTTATTTTATTCCCTTAGGTTTTATCCTCTTCACCTTATAAATGGTTAATGTAACCTTTGCGTTAGTATATGTTAGCATACTGCATAATTATATGTTAATCTTCTGTGCCTGTGGATTACCTGTGCATAAGCCTTCTAGGCTTCCAGCTCACCACAGCCGGGGACAGACCCAACATCCCATTCCAGTAATAAAGAGAAATCACAGTAGTGACATAATATATTTTTGTAAGCTTCCTATTTTTGTAGTTACCTGTGTAAAAAAAATATGCTGGTTTTTACCTAAAAGATACGCAGCCTAATTATGTCCAGGTTGAATCCACAGTTTATCCTTTTGTTATTGTTTTAAAACCATTCCATTTCAAAGCACTTTCAGTTCATTAGGTATAGGAAATACTTCGTTTTATTGTGTGGGAATTTTTTTTCAAATGGAATGGTTTGGAAATTATATATATAAATATAAATATATATATATAAAGTGCTTGTGTGCAAACTTGGAATTGCAAAGCAAGTGCATTTAACTATGGTGTTGAGGAAAGGTGGTTGTTTTTTTTTCCTGAAGGTCGTGTTCCAGTGAGAGAAATCACATTCACAAAATTGCCAGGATATCTTCCTTACCTTTTCAATAGAAAAGATGTTTAGAAATCTTTTGGTGCCAACTCAGTTTTTTAAGTATAAATTTAGGGGCCTGAAAGGTTTACCTATAGGACACATATTTTGAGAATTGTCTCTAGATGTTGTACAACTGAAGGCTTTTAAACACTAAAATATATAATTTATAGTTAAGGCTAAAAAGAATATTTATTGCAGAGGATGTTCGGAAGGCCAGTATAATTTGTACAATAAATCACCCCTTGAGTCTAAAAAAAATCTTTCTGCCTGAGATGTTGCAATTTTAACACATATGACTCAAAATAAGGACATTTCAAGATACTGTGACATTTGGCCCAGATATTTCCAAAATAATGCTAACCATGAGGAAGCGCCATAGTTAAAAGTGTAGAATTGGTGTACTTGAAAAAAAGTTCTTAATCCAGTTTATTTCCCCCTTTTTTTAATTTAGCTACAGATAGAAAATTTGCACATCTTGGCTATGTATCTTTTTATTATTATTGTAGAAAGTAGCTGAAGGGACGTGGACATAGCTGTTGAAGTTGATGCTTGAGGAGAATGTGATGGCAAAATGTATGTGAGAAACTGCCGCTAAGGTGTTGATTGTAGACAAAAAATGTTTTAAAAAGGAAAAAAAAGGAGCGGATGCTCCCCTTTTTATGAGCTGCTATGGATAAATTCCCAGCATGAATTGAAAAAAAAATAACATTGCTTTTCTGTATCTTTGTCATTGTGTTTTGCTGCTATTTTGTGGTCATTTTTTTGTTTATACAATGTCATATACTGCCATGTTATAGGTTTTAAATTTTCTCATAGAAAATTATATTATTGACATCATTTTTTTGTTTTGTTTGGGTAGATTTTTTATGTGATCAGTTTTTCTTAATGTGATTACTGCTCTATTCCAAAAAAGGTTCCTGTTTCACAATACCTCATTCTTCAGTTAACCATGTTTAGATCAGGTTTTAATGTTTGTTCACAATGCCTCATAGTTCTACTGCAAGCTGAAATGCATTGGACATTATTCTGAATGGGTCTTGCAATTTGCAACTAGTTTGTGCTGATGTTAAGATGGCAGACATTTCAGAAGATTGAATAATGTCGGGTTCTTTTGTTACATGTTTTTATAAAGTGGATTCCTTTTTTCTGATCTGGGGTTTATTATCATAGTAGTTTTAAGCTGTGTTATTAGCCACATTTGATATATGAAAGGTGCATTATAATATAACTCTTGTATACCCTTTGATGTTTTCCATCAGTTGGGAATCATCATGTGGTATGATAGGCTATCTTCTGGAATTTTAAGTATTTTGTGTGTTTAATCTGTTATGATATATTAGGGTTTTTGTTGATGTTAATTATAGCATAATGCTAATTTAAAACAAACAAACCTGTAAATCTCATAAATAAGCCAGCTAACAGAGTTGTATGGTGAAGAATAATCTAGTTGCCTGTATGCTGCTAAACCAAAACAGAATTAGAACTTTTTTGAGGGCAAATGCAGTTAAGATCCTACCTAAGCTTATTCAGATAGAAAAGAAAACAGTTTTTGTAATGCTACTAGCAGTCGCAGGACCCAGGAGGACTTGGATACATTTTGTCCAAATTTCAGGAACACTTCTTACTGCTTACCTCATAGACACTTCTGTTTGTGGCATCTCTGTGTCTCTGAACCAAACAAGATTATTAAGTTAGTGGTTGTTGGTTATATTATGTGTTTCACTGAAAGTGGCAGCGTGTACTGCAAAGTTTCTTTAAAGTATTGTATGTACTAAAAGGCCAAATGCTGATAAGCGGGTTCACGTGCAACAGAGATGCTTTATTTGTCACATTGTTAAACGATCTATAGAAAGCAAAGCAATTCAGATTTGTACCTTTTTTATATATATTGTACTTATTGGCATCACTGGTCTGAAATGCACATTTTCACCAACAGACCTGTAACAGTTAAGTTTCCAGCAAAAAAAAAAGAAGAAAAAAGAACCTCCCCTAAAGTCTAGAAATAAATTTGTAAAACCCAATGCTGGTATTCTGTGTTATTTTCACTTGATGATATTGAGGCTACAAGTTGACACTTACAAATCAGATAGCTCTGAATATGTTGACCATAGTACTTTTTAAAAAATCCACTGAATATATAGATTTGCCATTCTGAGTCAGACCATTGGCTTGTGTGGTTCAGTATTGCCATTGTTTTCTGTACAGTCAGACAGACAAAAGGTGTTGTCAATCATCTGAGCTCTTAATGGGATGCTGGTGCTTGATTCTGGGACCTGCAAGCCAAGCATGTGCCCACACTGTACTGTTGACTCTCAGCAAAGTTTAATTATCTTCCTTAATTCTAGAAATGTTACAAGTATGAGTATGATTCAGTTTGTTGTCAGTTCCAAAGTATGGTTTGAGGGCAACCAATGCCACAATTTTATTAAAGCTTAAGCAGGTATATATCTCATTACTGTCTGAATGGGAGATCTCCTGGGAATCATGAATATACTACCTCAAGTTTTGATGGGAGAAAGGTGAGATAATAGGTACACAAGTAAAAGTGTGTTGCTAAGGAAGAACAAGTGTTACACTCTCACACCAGCAGAGAAAAAAGTCTGGATTTTGCTTCAAATATTTGGGAAGATGTAGTCCTGGGACAATCCCATTAACTCAAGAGTTTTTCAGTACTTCTGTGGAGTTTGCACCACATTCTTATGACTTGGGCTACCATCTTGTTATATGTTAGCAGTTTCAGATGCAAGGAACAATTAGTTTTGCTAACTGTATAGTAACAAAGGAAACTTAAAATGACAAGACAAACTAGATGTTGGCTACCATATATTCTTTAGGCCTTTGACCATCTCATTGTTAGTCTCTGGTTAGCTGGCAGTCAATTATAGCAACAACAGTTCCACATCTAAAATTCTTTGACATTTGAAGCCCTATCTAGTCCAGTATTGGGCAGGTGTGCACAATTAAAACTGTAATGGTTATGGGATTTGAAAGCTGATTGAGTTCCCAAGCTTTTAGATTTATATTGCATTGAGTTGGTGGGCCATTAAATATAGACTGTTTAACTCTAGACCTATAGACCTGGACTGAAATCATTCAAGTAGCCTTTAGACTACTACAGGGGAAGACCCACAAGAAACTTGCAGGGAGAGGGCATTCCCCCACCTTTACTCCCCCCCCCCACCCGGAGTCTATGAAATCAGGCTTGCCCTCACTGCCCAACTGCTCACCTGCTGGGGAGGTCAGCTCCCTCTTGCTCCTCAGTGGCCTTCCCTTTCCCTGCTCGTCCCCCCTAGTCTGCCTACCTGGCCCCCATGCAGTGCCTTGCGGTCAAAGTCGGACCAGTGCTTGCCATTGTTGCCATAGTGGAGCAGGCCCTGGCTGAGCAGCGGCAAGGACCGCATCTAGGTCTGTGGCGGGGAAAGAGGCGGTGGTGGGGAGAGCCAAAGGAGCACCACTTCTTCACCTCAGGTGCTGGGCGAGGGGATGGGGCACGGCCCAGCTTGACTGTGATGTCTCCTTTCCTCACCAGGCAAGGCGAAGGCTGGTGGGTGTCAGTCGGCAGAGGGGGTGAAGTGAGCAGTGGCTCCCAGGGCATCCTGGCTGTGGGGAGGCAGGATGCCGAGAGCTCGTAAAACCATTGTCTGCGCATTAAGTTTTCAGATTTTTCTGCAAACCTGAGGAGTGCCCCAAGTTTGCCAAAAGATCTGTACCCTCCATAGTCCCTCTATCTGTGGAAATAAGTATCTGCACACGGGGACTTTGGGAATTAGATACATAGATACATTAGAAGATGAGAGGATCAGACCTGGCTGAGTTTGTCATTGTTGCTTTTTCCTAATTTTCTCTGCCATATAATGAACCTGTGTGACTCATGAATTCATGAAGCTGTGTGGCTTTCCAGGGTTCTCAAGTGTTCACATCACCTGCTGCCTGATCCTTTCAACTCGAGGTGGCAGGGATCGAACCTGAAATCTTCTGCAAGCCAAGCAGGTGCTCTGCAACTGAGCCACAGCCACTCCCATTTAGATTCATTTAGTGTTGGGGCTGCCTTTCATATTCTCAAATAGAAATTGTCATTCCCCCCCCCCTTTCTTCCAGCAATTTGGTGTAACTTAAAAACCTATTTTATACCCTGCACTATCTAGACAAATTCAATGTACTTTGCAATTGTATACAGTGATTTCAACAGGCTTAGATGTGAGTAACTTTGTACAGAACTGCACAGCCACTCTGCAGCACATCCTGTTTTTCCATTTTGAAACTACAACTGCCTGGTGTCTTGAAGCAACTTATTTTCTTTTCCTTCTTTTTTTCTACTGAACATCCAGCCTGATGAAGAGTTCTAGAGAACTTAAACACTTTGCACCCTGTTGTGTGCTCTTATTATAAAAGTTAAGTATAATGTTATATAAATCTGTTGTGTGACCATATTTGCAACATTGTGTTCTGGTCACTGCATCTCAAGGAAGATATCATAGAGCTTAAAAAGTACAAAGGGCAGCTAAAATGTTCAAGTACTTAGCACACCTTCCTATGAGAAGAGGCTACAGAGCTAGGGGCCTTTAACAGAGAAGAAAACAGCTAACGGGGAGTGTGATGGAAATGTATAAAATCATGAATGGTTGGAAAAAACATGTAGAAATATTTTTGCCTCTCAGTTCTGTAACTCAAGGACATCTTATGATATTGATCAGCAGCAAGTTTGGA